ATCAGTGCTTTTTAATGGATTCATCCAAACATAAACTTTTTAACCAGCTTTAGATGGCATGCTGTCTATATAGGGAGTAATTAAGCTTATATGAATTTCTTATATGAATTTAGGACGATGCTGTACACGACTTATTCATTTGACACACTAGGTGATACATTCATTATGCATATCCAAGCATGGCCAATGTACTAAATATGTTTAAAAATTAGATGTTTTGGTAGAATTGAAATCTGGACTCAAATCTGGTGCTGTACTGTATGTGGATTACAGTCAGCATTAATCTTTTCCATACAAACCTAGCAATCTAGCATTGTGCTTGTTCTTTGACTTTCATAACCTTTAATCACTCCAGGGTGGATTTTCCTCTTAAGCAATATAAAAAAGCTTCTTTGGTTTACTTTACAATGGATATTGGTCCCAGAAAATATCAGCAAAAATAAAGAAGAGTAGTAAAATAATGATAAATGTCTGGAAACTCCAATCGAGAAGACAGGATGGGTACTAAATGAGCATGTGTGGAGTGAAAGACACGGCATTTAGTGTAAACTCTGTTTTAATCACTTGCTCATAGACATGTTTATGTATTTCTGGTATCGTGATCTGGCACACAGTGAGTGTTAACTTCTGTTAAGCAGTCTTTAAATTCTGCAGCTAGTACTGTTTTGTGGTAATTGTTATTAAAAGACTGTTAGCAGTTGAGCACATGGAATAATTCATCTATACACACACACACACACATATTGTCACGCCCACCTCACATGACCAGCAATGATTGCCGGAAACTGAGGGAAACCATCATATTTAAACCTTTCACTGACATTAGTCTGGTGCGAGGTATTGTAGTAATGTACGTACTAAGCGCTTTGATTATTCGTTGTCTCCCTAGTTACGTTCAGTCTTCCTGGCCCTGCCCGCTCCTTCCTCGACTCCTGCCTGCCCTCCTGCCCGTCCACCCTCCCCGTGACGCCCCTCATGGATTTCCCCGTGTTTGTCCCCCGTTTCACCAGCTTGACCTACTGGCTTCTAGACCCTCGGCTTCCCTTTACTCGACGACGACATTGGATCACGTTCTGGACTTTGGCTTCTGTTTCCTGGCAACGACTTGGATACGGCTCACGACCTCCCTTCTCTTAATCCCTAATAAACTTGGTTGCCTGAATTTGTCTCCGCGGATCTTTCTGGGCAGTACACATATTGTCCAAGTGTTTTTTTATTTCCCATTTATATTGTGGACCGATAAATTTTAAATGTTTCTTTCCTGTGGGAAGCTGTTCCTTATTGATTGATTATTGTTCCTTATACACAGTCACCAGTATGTAAAAACAACAAAAAAATAGTTTACAGCATTCTTTTGTGTTGCTGTCAATTACAAGAAGCTATTGTGTGCTGTGCAGCAACTCAATCCTTTTATAATTCAACAGTTAACACAAAATCCATCTTACTTGCATAATTATTCCATCTTACTTGCATAATTTTAATGCCTTTTAATGTCACCATTATTTTTAATATGATTTTATCAATTATGATTTGACAATATTTACACTCAGTGATGACTTTATTATGAACGCCTAGCTAATACCAGGCAAGACTCACTTTTCCCGCCAGAACCTCTTCAAGGGTAGACAAGAAAGGCCTTTTTGTACAGTACTGTTGTACTGAGCTATTGTTCTTGCACTTGTCCTCTTCCTCTTAGCTTTAATGAGTCTGGCCATTCTTTCCTAAACACTCATTAACAAGATGTTTTCACCCACAGAACTGCCACTGACTGGCATTGTTCATCAAACCATTCCCTGTAAACTCTAAGCACCGTAACATGTGAAAATCCCAAAAGGACAGCTATTTTTAAGATACTGGAACCACCATGTCTGATACCAACAATCACACCACATTCAAAATTACTTAGATTAGCCATTATAATGATTAGCCAAATATTAAGTGAATCTCTTGCCCTTGTGCCAAGTCAAACTCTATTGTCATTTCAAAATATGGAGGCATGCAGTGAAATGAACTAGTTGTGAACCTATTAACCTGGTCACTGAGCCTACATTTGGACATCATACTAAACAACAGTGGCCCTATACTGGAAGGTTTATGGATACCTTATACCTTCTATACTTGTCTTCATTTGAACAAAAATAACACTTTATTAAATACTTGTTGTTCCTGTGCAGTCTACTCTGAAGGAGTTTCTGCTGTACAATGGAATAAAATAAATACATATGACAACAAATTTCATCAAGTATGACATGCTCTCAATGGCCCTTTGGCCCCCAAGAGCAGATTCATTTTACCACCATGCCACTGATGTCAGTGAACTCTACGGGTGCCTAATTTATCACGTCTGCTACCATTCGTGTCAGATCCCATCCTCTTCTGCTAAAGTCATCCTGGTTGTACCTCACCATCCGTTTTTTCTCTCACTCTCTGAATTGCCTCTCCTTCTGATCTGTAGAAACCATCTGATAGCATTTTGTAACTGTGTTCCACCGTTGCCAAAGAAAAGAAGATGTGCAAAAGTGTAACTGGTCAAGCACCCTTTAAACTTTAATTACATCTCTTAATAGGCTCACTAGGGCTATATTCATTAATTTGGTCTAAAACTGAAATTATACACTGGTGTGAAGCAGACTTTGCTGGATTTTCAAGTAAAAATGCATCTGAGAGCAATTTGCCAGAGGCAACACTTTTTTAATTACCCTGTATGACCGTGCTTCAATTTGGCTCTTTCATTAGTCATCTGAGAAGATGATCAAAAATGCAAAAAAATATCACAGAGCGCTCTTTGAACTTTTCAACAAAAGAAGTCAATTTCATAAGATCAAACCACTGAGGGCCGGTCAAACCCATAGAAAACTTGTCTGAATGGATGATGAATACAAAAAACAGTGAAATGTGTAAGAACAGAAGGAATGGTAAACCACGGCTGAGTGTGCACTGTGTGCTACCATTACAGTAAGATGGGGCTGTTGTGCCGCTCAGCGGGTTAGAATGCTTTACATGTTGTCACAAGGTTACGGTTCAAATCCCAGCACTGACAAAGTGATTGCACCTTTATCCAGAATTATGTAGAATGACTCGGAAGGTTGTTTTCAGACGTCTCCAGAAAGAATAACTGACTGAAAAATCCAAGAAAAATATTCTTTGTTGTGATTCAAAGGTGTAAAAAAATGTTTAAAAAAAAAAACAAGTAAACTCCATAGATATGGTGACTTAAACACATTTGAATGATCCCGTTGCCCTCTATAGGGTGCAAAGTGATGGTTGTGATGAATGTACTGGACCCACACCTATCTGCATATATATATTATACTAAAATGTAATCATGACAGAGCATTTAACCCCCCAGGGATAGTTACTTTCAGAGAAAAAAAAACATACATGTACCCAGATGGAGGCAGTAATTGGGAGTAAGAGCAAAAATATTCACGTAATCATAGGTAATGAGAAGTACTGCTGGAGGGAAGTTTCAGTAATGCATCATTTTGAGTCAGTTTTGACCCTGGATATCTTTATATCAGGAAGCACGTGGTAATAAGAAAACCCTGCCCCACATTTTTGCACAGATATGATGCATTAAAAGCACAAAGTTTTCTGTACATGACAAAGTAGACTGCTCATCTATTTGGTCCACCAGTAAACAAAAAAAATATATGTAAGATATATCAAGTATCATGAACGCCACCCTTTTCTACAACTGGCAACACCGGTCAAGACTGTCAAAATCATGTTGCATCATCATGCCTGTGAAATTGGGAAGTGGCTTTTTCCCACAACTACTTTTAAATTCATGGAGTAAAAATAAGGACATCCATCATCCAACCACTTACTCACCACAGGGTCACAGGAAGCCAGGAGGCTACCCCAGGCAGCACAGGGCACCAAACAGGGGGACACACTGTACAGTGTCAGGCCATTGCAGGGCGTGCACACACACACACACACACACACGGTATAGGCAATTTGCAGGTGCAGGCAGCATAAGTGCATGTATTTAGATTGCAGAAGGTAACCAGGAGCACATGGGGAGAACAAGTGAGCTCTACACATGCAGGATGGAGGCAGGATTCAAACAGCCAACCCTGTGCAATGTGACAGGATCTCCAGCTGACTCACCAAGCACCCACAGATACTGTGTTTTTAAAATCTGAAAATCACACCTACATGTCATACATATAATCACTTGTTCTTTTCTTTACCAATCTATCATTATAGGTACAATATACACTTACCTATTAGGTTTCTAAAGATAAAACTAGCTGTTTCTTAGTGGGGGGGTGCCTAGCAGATTGTTAACTGATGTTCTTTACAGAACCAAGGTTCCTTTGGAACTAAATTCATGCAAATTAGCAGATATGATTAAGCAAGATTGAAAGCTGATTGAAATGTGTCACATAGACATTATTTGCCTAATATGTAATTTGATTGTCTCCAGATCTAGGATTGATATAATCACTGCATTGTAAATTAATGGAAATTTAACTAACCAGGTGCATCATTAAAATCTTTTAATATATTTGTCACACATGCAAAATTGAAGGTCAATAACCTTCAAGAACAGTGCTTTATAATAATTTTGTAGGAGTAACTTAATAATCTGTAAGGATAGATCTTCCTCACATTTCCATCAGCACGATGTGAGAATCTTGGTGCAAGGAATGCACAAGGTTGGGATCACTAATTGTTTGTCAGGCTAAGCGGAACTGATTGGCCTGTGGGGTACACATACCTTTTTAAGTAACAGCGTTCAGCCCTTTAACTGCTTATCCGATATTGAGTCCAAGTCAACATTGGACATTATTTAGGGAGCAGCCTGGACTTGATGCCAGGCTATTATACGGGCACTTTAGTGACGTCAGTTCGCTTAAGCACATGTTTATGAAATGCAGGGGGAAAGCGGCGTGCTACGTTTTTATTTGATGATTATTTAACACATCATTTATTCTTACTGCTTATCATACGAAATATCCAAACATGGGGGACTTTTATTTTGACACCTTAGACACTACGGTGGATTCACTTCCGCGTCTATGTGTGGGAGTTTATGCGCCATGCAATTAGGAATGGCTTAATACTACGTTTTTCTCCATTTCAGTTTATCCGTACAAACGCTACTGTAATCGGAGACCTTGGCGGAGTCGCCCGACTTTTAAGACGGCCATTTCCACACCAGATTTAGGTGAAATCTGCTCTACCTATCACCTACACTAAAAGACCCAGCACTTAAAGTTCTACGATAAGTATACAAACGTGTACATTTTGTAAAAGAGAAAAACACACCTCAGTTTGTCCATTGCACATTTGTAAAGCTGCTTAAAACACGAAGAGCCGTGTATCTGATTCCAAGCCAACTTTATTGCGCTAACAACTAACTTGCGATGTACTGCCGAATTTACTGTTATGCTAGTTATCCCAGGTAAATTAACATGACTTAGCCCCTGATCTTTCAATAGCTAGAAACAACTCATGAGTTATGGTGAATCTCTTATTAACTAATCTCCTTGGCGTTTGTCTGATTAGATAACCGCTAGCTACCCATCCCCTAACGTTTTTGGATTTTCGTAGGTGAATATCAGTGCTTAAATTGTGAATTTGACTTCACTTATTGCATATAGTCCATTGAGTGCTTAAAATGGTGCTGCCTTACATTATTCTACACTTCAGTACAAGCTGAAATAAATATACATTTTGTGACCTCCTTTCAATGTAGTGAAAATTTTTCTACTGCCTCTGCAGAGGGTGGAGGATGGCAGTGCTGAGCCTGTCATTTGCAGCCTGTGGGTTCCTTGGGATTTACCATCTGGGAGTGGTGGAAGCTTTGGTCCAACGTGGGGGTAAACTGCTGAGCTGCGTAAAAGCCTGTACCGGTGCCTCTGCTGGGTCTCTCACGGCTGCTTTGCTGATCACTGCCCCTAACAAATTGGAGGTAATTTAGGTCAGGAGTGGCAGAGAAACCAGGAGGTTTCAGCTGTCAAGTTTTCTGCGAATTTCTGCTCCTGCCGGTTGGTTGCCAGAGTGTGAGATCTCTAATTATGGCCTTCGGTCTAGAATAAGACATTCTGTTACATCATGCCACATGGTGTAGTTTATTTATAAATACTTTAAATTATATTTAGGTTGATGATGTATTCATCCATAGTGATAAAACAGGACTTTGCAGCCTTGTACTGGTCAATCTGACTTATATAAAGGCTATAATTTGGCTAATTGATGTCACATCTCATTGTATGCTTACAGACAGTGCCAACTTTCAGCTGTCTTTATTTTTGCTGGGTCCCATAATTACAACACTACTACAGTAATTATGTTTACTCCAGGTTACCTGTGGCAACTTGTTGCTTTTATCATTTGAGATATGCTCTTCAGTCTAAATTTTAGAATTGCATGCTCTAGCTTCCAACAGCTGAATCCTTATGGATCATTTGGGTCATTAATTTTCTCTTTGTTCATTGTTGTTTCTTTCTTGCCGAGTAGGTCAGCAAAGATTTCATAAACGAGTTTGCCGATGAGGTCCGAAAGCAGAAGTTTGGAGCCTTGACTCCAGGATATGATTTCATGCTGACGTTGAGGTGGTAGATTCTGAATCTCTCAAATGCTGGAATGAGGTTGGATTGTGTCTGCCATGTGGGCAGTTGCATTGCTAAATGAATTAATGAATGAATGACATAGCTATTACAAAGGATTTCAACATGCATGCAATAAAAATTGTAGTAGGAGAATCTTGAATGAGGTAGCCTCAGCACATCATGAGATGTGGGCTTTCTCGTTCTTATAGGACAGGGCTATTCAAATCACGGTCCTCAAGGGCTGAGTACTGCTGATTTTCCAGCCTTCCTTTACCTGTGAGCCAGGTGTAAAGCTTCTGGCCAATCAGAATCAGTAATTATTAAACTAAGTACCCAGGAGAATTGAAAACAAGGACTGGGTTTGGAATTGAGATCCAGATTTGAAGAGCCCTGTTATAGGATGACTCTGGTAAGCGGAGTTCAATACACTACTAGTTACCAGTGTGTTCCTGCTCTCGGAGTTTATATCAGCAGCTGCCACATACTCCTACCAGGGATGTGAAGTGGAATCAGTGCCTTCTGCACTGCTGTCTCCAATGATAGCTGTGTTTTGTTTTAGCTGTTTTTGATTAATGAAAGTTGTTTTATGAAATTTTATCAGCGCTAAAAATGTGAACATACTGTAGCATTAGTAACGTTTACCCACAATTGAAATCAGCCTGGAGGTCCTTCCAGCCTGTCATCAGTGATAGTGGTTTGTCTTGACTTTTACACTGCTAGCCATACAGCAAATACATTTTCTCTATTCCAGTAGGGAAGAACTAGTGACCCTAACAGGGAAACACCAAACCTGCATACATTATAAAGGGAGTTTTGCTCCGTTTGCCCAGTAAATGCCAGCTGTTTCATAATGCATCAGGGTATGGTGCTATACAGAAACTGCATCCACAGAGCACAATCCCATGGTACAGAGAGATGGCTGCTAATTAGACCTTTAAAGTTAGCATCTCTTGTCGTTTCAGGAAGGGTTTGGAGAACATCCTTCCTCCCAATGCCCATGAGATTGCTGCTGATCGTCTCTACATTTCAATAACACACTCCAGGTCCGGAGAAAATTGCATGGTGTCTCGTTTTGCCTCGAGGGAGAACCTCATCAAGGTATCCTGTTCTCACAAACTTTATATTCTGTCCATGATAGTAATAGTCTCCATTAATTGAACATTTGCTGTTTGAGTACCTGCTGTCAGAAATTCAGATTAATCAGTCAACGGAGGTTAGTTGAATTTTAGTGCCTCCATCTAATGTACAAGTCTGTAAGATAGATTGTTTCTTACTAAACAAAAGACAATTGCCTTCGTTACTTTAATCAGTAAATGCACTCCCTGAATTCCAATATAAAATGTTATACCTTTAATATTTAGTGGTTTGATCCCCAGTTCTCCTGTTTATTTGTTTGCATTGTTGTTGGGGGCAGTCATTGTTGTTGGGGGCAGTCATAGATAAGCATTTATTTCTTTTCTTGATGAATTTGAAGGTCCTACTTGCCAGTTGTTTTGTGCCTCTGTATGCCGGAGTGAAGGCAGTTGAGTACCAAGGAGAGGTAATGAATCCATTTTAATAAAATTAAAAAGGATAAAACGTCTCTCTGCAAGCCTTTTTGGAGGCTCGTTTCAGTACAGTTGTTCTGGAGTAACATGCACGCCATGTGGAAGTGTACGTCGTGGACAGCCCTAATCAGAACCGTTTCTCATAAGAAGGCTTGATGAGGGATGGACATTGTGTTGTGGGATTAATGTAAAGCCCCCTGGCCTTGTCTTTGACAGAGCTCTAATAAACCTGTCTCCAATAAACTTGTTGTCCACAGCTTGTGCGTCAACCTCACCATGATGGATGCCCACAGATATTTAGCTGCTGGTGAGGGTCACGTAAATGAGTCGCATTGCTATCCAGAAATGGCTGTGTGTCAGAGGGTGGGGAATGGAGTCAAGCTTCACACAGCGTGTTAAATGAACAGTGTTATCTGTCAGCATTAGTCTTCACTTATTTAGTTGTTTGAGGTGTTTAACTGCTTAAAGTCTCATTTACTCTCAAGTTTTCCATTAAATGCACTTTATGGGGTGTTGGATGGCTTTGGAAAGTAAATTTGTGCAGCTGCACTTCAAAGCCATTAAAGCGACTCTGAAAGATGAATTTTTACAGGTATTGCCTCTTTTATTTATGGCACTCTTATGTTGAGAGAGAGTCATTGTTTAATTAAAATTTTTATTTTCATGTTATATAGATTATTAGATATTTTTGACATGATTTCAGTTACGCAATGCATTGTCTATATCTCCGTGCTGTACATTGATTTGTTCTAGCTGACATTTCAAGCAGTGTCCAACCCTTTGAAATAATCCCTTCTCACCTTAAAAATTTGATTTGAATATTCAATCTGCTTAATACTTTGTTTCGCTCTTAGAAATGGATCGATGGTGGGTTCACAAACTGTCTCCCGGTTATGGCTGAAGGTCGCACAGTCACCATCTCCCCATTTAGTGGTCTACAGGACATCTGCCCCAAACACAGTGGGCTCTCAAATCTCCACATCAGCCTTGCCAAAATGGATGTCCTGGTGGGTCTTTCAAATTTAAACAAAGTCTTCTCAACTGTCCAAACCCCTACAGATACCATGAATTTTATTCAATTAATGTTATACTACATATATTTATCTGTTTGCTTATTTTTGTTTTTTAATCGCAATTTCATTTTCACCAGGTTTCTATTGATAACCTCACAAGACTGAATCAAGCTTTATTTCCACCAGCACATAACATAATGAAAGAAATTAACCGAAGTGGTTATGAAGATGCATTACAGTTTTTAAGAAGAGAGAAGTGGATGGATTAGCTGATTTATAGATTAGAGCAGGGATGGCCAATCTTATCCACAAAGGGCCGCTGGGTTTTCACTACAGCTCCCTAATTAGATTACTAATTAGAGGACTGATTGGCTGAAGAGTCCTCACACCTGGGTTTGAACAGATGACCTACAGGTTATCCCAAAAACCTGGATACACACCGGCCCTTTGCAGATAAGATTGCCCACCCCTAGATTAGAGGTATCCCCTGCCTTTCAGAAGTTCACTGTGTGCCACTTTTACGAAAGACCTGTTTTTGCTAACCGAAAGAAATCCAAAAACGATAGGAGGCCGTGTGCAACCCAAGCAGCAAAGGGGACGCCACCAAGCTCCTTCCCCAAGAACTACACTCAGGATCTCAAAATCAGGCCGCCGTAGCTGTGATCATGGGTGTGTTATCTTGCTTTATTTTGTGCATCTGATAGCAAGATGTGTCCTAAAATACATAGATAATTTCTACTTTAATTTATCATATCGTTCCTGCTTTTACTATATGTTAGCATTGTTTTAGGTATTGCGTGTTATTTGGTATGATGGTAAGTTATTTTTTGGGTCTGGGCATGTTATTTATTATTTCTTGTTAAAATAATAGCAGTTGCTTCTACGCTTTATTTTGGCTTATGAAAGGTTTCATAGCAACGGTCTGCTTTTGGATAGCGGTGGAAACCTGTATAGAAGTTGGTCATGCATTAACAGAAGTGTCAAGATCTGGGGAATGAAGTAAGATTAAGGTCTGAGACTGTTTTTGATGAGTGAATGTAAAATCTCTGGCTGTATGATCAGTTGGGGGTTGTACAGCAACCATGTAGCACTTCCAGTATTTAATTTCTTTTCAGTTTACATTGAATAAAAGAGAATGAATGCTGCTGTGTAAACTGAAGTTTCACTTGTGCTACCTGAAGCATTCAACCCACGACCCTGACTGGGATTAGCAATTAGAAAAAGAACGGACTGATGACATGTACAGTATACTGCTATCATATGTAGCTCGATGAGCAATGGAGCTGAATCAACCTTTGATGGTTTATGGTTGACAGTTACGATTGAGCTTCTCGTTGTTCCCATAGCAGGTGTCTGCTCTCTGCTAGCAGAAAATCTGTTCTGCATTGTGGTCATTCTTCTAAGACCAGAAGCCTCCACATGAAGGAGGCACATCCGTGAGGCAGGGCTCAGATGTGAAAAGGATTTGGCTTCACGGATTCTCACAAAGCGGTGACATGATAAAAGAGAAAGGGGAAAGTGTGTCTGTTGCAACAAACCAGGATTTCACTGACTTAAGTGGAGCTTCCAGAACTTGGTTTTTGAAGTCTTTAAATCCTTGCCGTTGGATTGTTCGGCTGGTAGCATTTATTTCAATTTGTGCAATTTAGTATCAATTCCTTCTTATTCCATTATTGACTAACTAGCTTTTTAAAGCACTCTCCCGTGCTATAGAACTCTGAATGATATAGCTACATCAGTTACAATCAGAGCCTAATTGTGGCTTGTTCTGCCATTACAAGGGTTGCCATGGCCCCGAGATTAAATTACGCACATAGAACAAAATCCTTTGAAATATCGGCAGATTTAAGCTGAATTTAACGGCTCAAGCCTCTATGTCCCTTGCATTTTTTTCTGTCCTACCTATTAATTAGCTCCACTTGTAGCAGAGTACATTTCATGATTTCATGAAAAGGTTAAAATTAAAAAAAAAATAAAAAATTTGTAGCATTACTTTACCCTTAAATGATTAAAGAAATTATATATATTTTCAGTAGTGGTCATGTATGTGGTATCAAAGGGCAAATGGCATTCAGTTCAACTTTTAAATGAGTATATGTCTATTGTAGTGTGTATAGGTCACTTTACATAATGGGTTAAAATCAAGTTCTCCCTTTTACTGCATATTTAAATACATAAAGCTATGACTTCATTGGGTTTTCATGGTTCTTAAAATGTCAATTTTACAGTTTTAGCCCTGTAGTACTTGCATGAAATATGCATGTTTTTTTTAAAAAAATACACAATAAATGTATGTGTGAACAGGTTCACCTCGTGCAGGTTCACCCCGGGCAGGGGATATAACCGTCCCACACACCGGCAGCACCAGGCATGCAGATCTGCAAGGAAGTTCTGTCTCTCTGCCACTGTCTCCTAGCTGGCTTAACACAAACCAAACGAGAGCCAGTGGTAAGGCACAAGGAAGGTAAATGTCCAGCTCTTATTGCACCCAGCACCGATGAACCAAAATGCTCATGATTCTGGCAGTGATAACGCTTTCCTTTAATTTGACAGCATTTGTTCAAACTGTGCAATCAGCGCTTTGGCATTGGGAAATTTTCTGCCGTTGAAATGTCCGTGATTATTTTTTTGTTTTTGGTGTCAATATGATGCAGACACATTTCAATGTTGCATCTCAACAAAGATCAAAGGCAAAAACCAACACAGATGGCTGGGCTGACAGCTGCAACAAACTAAAAAAAGTAAAACAACACAAAATTATTAATGGGTAGCCAAAGTCATTTTTTAATAAATGTGCACCGGTAACAAAAGTGCGGAATAAACAAGGGTCTCTTATGAATGTCTGGACTCCTCACATCATGCAGTTTCACTGCCAAATGGCTGGATAAGGGACCCTTTTAAATTCGGGGATCTGCCTGGACAAACTACCTCTGCGCCAACATGTTAATGACTAATTCAGTGAGGCTGCCAAAGGCTCCGGGTGGCCATGGTGCTCTCCGGTAATCAAATAACGCCAATCAGGCCAGGCGGACACAGCTTCAGACAAAACAATTAGCATGGTAGCCAGCCTTTGGATACGCTGGGTCAGATTTATCAAGACGTCTGTGGCTTTCTCAGCGCAGTTCCCAGGATTGCGCCCAGCTCGTTAATGTACTTATCAATGAACCTCTGAGACCCTGAATGGCAATCAGTCCGTACAATTAAAATGCAAATAAGGCCTTCCTGCTGTCTCACACATTATTGAGACACAATCTGTCCTTGTGGAGCCTGTGGAGAAGTCTTCTGTAAATACAGACATTTTTCAGTGAAACAGTGCACGATTAACTTCTTTCTTGTTATGAACTTAAAAACAGTGCATAACAGTCTCATGGTTATCCATTCAGATGTCTGTCCCTTAATCCAGGTCTTTACATACCTACAGCTGACACATGAATGAAAAATCACAATACTGGTTGGTTACCAATTAAATGCCTCTCATTAAGAGAGATGGTTGTATGAACATTAATCTCGATGCATCCCAGAGCATGAAAACATTGGGGATTTCAGACTTAGCAGCGTATGTTACGTGGCAGGAGACAGAATTCTTTTCCTGACCGACGAGTCCTCTGTGTGTCTGCGATTCATGGGGCATTTTTGGAATGAAATCAGTGCACTGGCCAAGTGCTGCCTCTAGTGTTGGTCTCTGTCACAGTGGCAGAGCTGGAAGAGAGAGGAACAGCAAGGCTGCAGCCAGGGTTTCCACACCAGGTTGGCTGGAGATAGCTGGTCAGCGGCACGGGTCAGGCTCCGGGCGTGGAGGGTCACCGCTTCCTGGATTGTCCCAAGGACGTTGTGGAAGAGCGGCTCCGTCTCCGGGCTCAGGGGTGTGCTCTCGGAAGGGTCCACAGAGAGGTCATAGAGCAAGGGGGGGTCGTGATACGTCACATAGTTTTCCGTGCAAAAGCAGGCGTGCGTGTGGAAGCAAGTGGTGGAGTCTTCAGGATAGAAATTAGGGGTGAAGAAAAAAGCTTTCCAGACAGATTTACCTGAGAAAGGGATAGTGGTGTTTAACTTTACTACCCAGACAAGACACGGTTTTAGATTAAGCTTCTCAGCATGTTTGCCATAATACATTGGTTGTTGGGACAAGGTGCATTTGAATGTAAGATTTAAGCTGCTTACTGAAATTTGTGAAAACTATGGAGTACGTGGTAGACGGATTTTGAGATTTTAGTTGAATGAAATTAGACCCACCGGTGAGTGGGCGCCATCTCACGGCGTTCAGGAAGGCGTTGCAGTAATGGAAGAGGAACTCGTGTTCGGATCTCTGTACCTCCCCCAGTAAGAGTGGCATGAGATCTCGACCGTCGATGTGCCTAAATGCAGACAGAGCCAGAGAGAGAGCATGAATGTGCACAGGTGATAACAGATCACGGGCGAGATTAGCGGTGTGCTTATCAACGCCGTGCTTCAGCTAATAGCAATTAACAGAAAGTGGGCGACTGACATCGCAGGATAACAGTGTGGCTTTCAAAGACCAGACTTTCATTTGGGTTACTGGAGAATCCCATGATGCTGATTGCAGTCCAGGGTGATTAGCTCAAATGGGAAAATGATTATGTCGTGCCCAGAGGGGCTTGGTGAAGAAGGGTCAAGGATGAGTGCCAAGGATATCAAACAAAAATGGCTGCAATCACAGAAAAAGACTGCGCCAGCCGTGCTCCTGAAGTTATGTAATCTCACTAGCTGAGTGAGTCATCAGTCTGGCAGTATATATCAATAGTAACCTGTCTTGAGGCAGGCTCGCTCCTGCCAGTTTCACCACGGTAGGAAACACATCCATGTTGCTAGTGGGCTCGTCTATGGTCTTGTTTGAGGGTAGGAAACCACTCCAGCGCAGGATGCTGGGAACCCTAATCCCCCCTTCCCAATTGGTCGATTTTCCTGCTGTGAACAAATCACAAGTGTTATGCATTTGTCTTCATTTTCCAAACACTGCATACCTAATATATACATGTATACTATTTGGATATTGATATGCACTATACTATGAATGCAGTGCCACGTTGTTATCAACACATTCAGTAAACAATGCATACAGTATTTAATACTCCATACTTTACACCAGGGCCATCGTTAGGTCTATTTAATTGTGTTTTTATTGGCTTAAGTCATGAATACCTTTTAATATTATATACAAGTTTGCCATCCCCCCCCCCCCCCCAGTAAAAACTGAGCCTCCCATCCATTCATCTTTAACTACACCCCTGCTTTATACTCCCCTTTTAACACTGGTCAACGCTTGTTTTTTTTTCTTTTCTTAATTTAACATGGCTCAAATTTTAAATATGTGTAATGCAACTTACAGCTCCGTTAGAAGCTGTTATCTGTTACGATACCAGTGGTCTGGTGCATGGTAACACAGTATCACATATAAACAGCAATTTTCTGTAGATACTTTTGTCACACAAGAACCAATCTGTAAGACTGCATTTCCCCCAGTAGTCCTTATTAGAGCCAACATTTGCTGCTTGTAGAAACCAGCAGACCTTAGGTCTGCCTAAGCTTTCCATGAAATTAGGCCATTATTTAAACTACAAGCTGAAACCCCAAGAAATTCTTGAAATGATTAATATAAGTGAATATTAATAAAATCTCCCTCACTCGGTGTGCGTGTTTGGAGGAGTCCCTTGCTGGTTCTCAGTAAATCTAGCTGTAAGTTAAATAAGTACCTTTGTAAATGCCATTCCACCCCCGGTGAACCTCTCCCCTAACGGAGATCTCCTCCAGGTGAGCCCCCTGGTCTGAGGTCAGGTACAGAAGAGTGTTCTCGCTCAGCTTCAGGGAGTCCAGTGTCTCCACAATCTTCCCTTAAGATCAAGAAAGGCAAGTGAAAATAGAGGCCACTCGTCATACTCATAAGTTAAGCAGAACAGGGTGGATATGACTACAAGTGCATTACCTAGAGTGACTGTTTTTTTTTTTTTAATTCAGCCATTAGTTAATTCCTTAGATTGTATTAAAAAGGGATTTATAGGGGATTTGCACCTAAGAATGTTCCTAGTTATATGACAAACAAATGCCAACAGAAAATGCATCAGTTGTTATAAAATGACAATGATCGATCTCACATCCATTAAGAGTTAAACCACTATCTGAAGATGACCATGCAATTATAAAATCATCATCATCATCTTCCTGTGAAGGTTTCTTAGATCATTCACACATATCCAACTATACTATACAGGAAAGTCCACACTCAACAGTGCCATCTGTAGTCCACTAGATGCTGCAGCAGTTCAGGGTTACCTATCATTTTATAAATGAAGAGCAGGAGTGTAGCTCACCACAATGACTCCAGTAAAATACCATGCTATTAAAATGCCAAAAATCAGGTTATACTGCATAAAAGTGCCAGTTGTGTCACTAAATGATAAAAGGACAGTGGATGCACAGACCTACACTCCAGTCAACCTCTTCCACGGCATCGCCATAGAGACCGTGCCGGCTTCTTCCTTTGAAGCGTTTGGATGCAAACAAAGCCGTATGCACTTGGATGAAGGAAAAGAAGAGCAGGAAAGGCTGATCAGCATTCCTGCAAGAGAGATCATCATTTGGGTCAGACTGACAGAATCAGGCAGGTTATTATCGGACCAAGTTTCACCACGGGGAAAAGCAACATGAAAACTATTTCTTTTAAGAGTTTCAGCCAAACAGGCTTTGAAATCTCCACGGGAGAAGAGGGAAAAAACGAAACTCACCTATGTAAGAAGCGTACCGCTTCTCTGGTCATCCGCAGAGTGAGATCGTCGGACCTGAATGGCTGCTCGACCACTTCACCGTTTCTCATGAGCAAACAGTTAAATGAAGGGAAGGTGAAGACGAAGACGGCAAAAAGCGCCAAGAGCACGCCGAAGAGTGCCGCCGCCCACAGCACAACGTTACGCGTGACGACTCTCACCCCGAGGGAGTATGCGAGGAGCACCGTGGCCACGGCCAATCCCAGGCCTCGGAATGGTATGTGCGAGAAGACGTTGACGAAGATGGTTCCGTGGCCCTGCTGGCAGTCGCGTAGGTTGGTCATGGTGATGCCATAGAAATGATCGAACCCATGTCTGTTCGGGTGGTGACACAAGTCGGCGTTGTGTTCGCAGTTTAGCCCCAGGTGCCACTTGCCTACGGAGGAAGACGGGACATTAAGACCCCTCTGAATCCACAGCCTGGAAAGGAACAGGGCTGTGAGATGAAAATCCCACAGCAGGAATGAGAAAGAATAAAAGTCCCCAGTGGAGCCGGAAGCCCATTACTCTGCTCCCATACAAGCCCAGGACATGCCTAATAAGCTAATAAACCAAGGACTGCAAAGGCAGACCAATTCCCTCTCTGCATTCCACTCAGCTTAGATTGAAAAGGGAGCAGGATCACAGTGAATTTCAAGCAGCAGAAGGTACCTGGTTTTGTATCTGAAATCTTCCAGATCGAAAAGCAGGAGTCACAGTACCTATGAGGGCTGTGGAGTAGCCTTGCTGCTGGGCGAGCTTGGCGAAGGTGACCTCCGTGGTGGGGAGACCCCCAGAAGTGGCAGAGAAAATGTAGACCCCCAGTTTGCCATGGCTGGCCATACCTAGGAGACAAGCGGAGACTGACAAAGGGTGCTGGAAAGGGTATCCGCCACTGAAGGAAAAGCCTCTATGCTTATTTTTAGTAAGTCATAGTAAATGATTTACAGACGCTCCTCTACTTACGAATGAGATATGTTCCGAACGGCCGTTCGTAACTTGAAATGTTCGTAAGTCATTATTCAACATCATTTTAATGGTATACGCAAGTACTAAGAAGTAGGATGCTGGGAGTTTGCACACTACACTGCTGCACAGCGGGAGTAGCGGCCAGAAGTCGTACTAGGTGGAATTGGGGCACAGAGAAAAATATTGATGTTGCGGACAGGAAACGGGAGCCCAAGGAACACAATTTGGACTTACAGTCCTCTTCGTTCGTATGTCTGAAAGTTCAGAAGTTGAAAGTTCGTAAGTAGAGGAGCGTCTGTATTTCAATTTTCAGTATTATTAATATAAGATTATTTGGGAGTATACTGACATAAATTGCCCTAGTAGTAATTAGTACAACTAATATCTAACAGTGTATTTAGTGTATTTCTCATAAACAAGGAAGCAACAGTAGAGCAGGAGCCAAGGTCCATGGTGTCACACCTTGATCTTATGGTTATAATCTCAGCTTGGTCATGTGGGTCAGGGCGGATCAGGGTATGTTCTCCTGAGATATCAGGAAGGTTTTTGTTTCACAATCTGTATTTGAATCTGTAATGAATATGAGCCAAAATGGATTCCATGGCAAAGGTTAAATGCTTGCCCCTGCCTCACCTGATCTCACTGGGTATCGACCAGTGAGGAAGGCTGCCCTGCTGGGGGTGCAGAGGGGAGCGGCTGCAATGTGCTGAGTCAGCTTCACCCCCTCCTGAGCCAGCCGGTCAATGTTAGGGGTCCTGCACTCAAAATCAGAAACAGCTAATAATAATAATATAGTTGTATTAATATTAATAAAGTGAATTTTGGTAAAACATGGTTACTCTCCAAATACAAAAATGAAAAAATCTTAAACCTTATAGTTGTGTTCCCATAGCATCCCAAATCTCCAATGCCGAGGTCATCTACCATCATCAAAACAAAATTTGGACGTTTCCCATCTCGAGATGCAGAAAAAGTCGTCATGAGCATGAGACTTAGGTGTAAAATCCGGAAAAGAGAGGCACATGGCATTATTCTGCTGGATGACAGAGAAGATTTTTGTGCACATTGTGAATACTGTATAAGGATGACATATTACACATACATACACAATGATCACAGACGGAAATAAGGTAGGGGAGACTGGGGCTGATTGGCACGGTCATTGTTCAGCCCTGTATATCTCAGACATGTATTACATTATGATAACCTAGCTACCTGCCAATTAAGCTATAAGGCTGCAGCTAAAAAACAGACATATTAGATTGCACAAAACAGTTACTGATGATGGTTCATTCATTCATTCATTCATTCATTCACTTGTGCCAAACAGTCCAAACATGGGGTTGGCTGACACACATTATGGGTTGCTCATTAATATTCTATGAATTTTGTAAAAAAAAAAAAAAAAAAAAAACTATCATCATACAAAAATAACCAGAACTTCAGCTTTAATCCAAAGTAAAACCAAACAGCAATGTCATGAAATCTTTCTGAAAATGTAAAACGAAACATCCAATATCAGTGAAATAATGCTTCTGAAAATGCAAAACACTCAAAATATCTAAATTTAAACATTGTCTAATAACAGTAATAAAACAATAAAAACTTTGCCACTGAACATTTTAAAACGTCATCTTCTTACATTCTTCATCCAAATGATTTTTCAAATAAACAACCTGTTTTTAATTATCAAACAAAAGCACTATTAAAATGCACTGTGCATTATGTGCCAACCAAGCTCAGCTACACTTTGTATGCACTTCATGACACCAAGCTTGCACGACTTACCACAGGCTTCGAATCTTAGCACAAAACATAGCTAATCCCCATCTGTATTTGGTACAATAAATTTATTTTCAACATCTCACTCAGATAAATATAAAATGAGACATTTCACCATGAGGTCATTTTGTTGCCGATGTTGTTATTTTGACAAGAAACACAACGTGATAACCACCTTAGTGTGCAGCCTTCTGATCAGTATGAATAAATGCAGTTCATTGGGACACATCTTATAATGTTTGCGAAAGCTCTCTCTACACTCTTGGAAATTATTGCTGTGCCAACCAACTCCTATGGCCAATAAACCCCAGTCTGCCATGTGCATATAAGGTAAGCCTCATAGTTTTGCTGCAGGGTTAACTGACTTTAATGACCAGCAAAGGCAGGATCGAGGTCAATTTGCAATTTGTCTTTTTTGCAGTAAAGCCATTGTTAGCATTGATTACTTAGCATTTGCACAGAAATTCAGTTTGAATGCTTCCGACTGAAATATATCACGACTGTCTCATTTATGTTAAATAATATATTGTAGCCTAAGCAGTCTATAACTATCTTTACAACCTAACAAAAAACTTCTCGGCCGAATGACGTTCAAAACGAAAGCGAAACGTTTGTTAATAAAATGTAACGATAACTATTCAAATGTGCGACGACTTACTAACAATCTTACCTTTTGCACTAAATGCACTAAAAGTTACCGAATGAAACAGACCGGGAAGTGGCGGTCACGTGACCGAGTGACGCCGGGGCTGTCAGTGTCACTGCGGGTCACCACTGTAATACAATGTATATCGGGCACAGTTTATTAACGTGTCTAAGCAAGGCTTGGGAAAACCTACACAAATGGCAAACCTTTAAAACCATCTTTAAATGCTCTGTACTAACAGCTTGATGCATTGCGACCCAGTAATGTTTTCTTTCACCCTTAAACTCTCAGGATTCCAGCAAGGTCCTCGATTTATGCTTTAAAATGGCACACCTTGCGTTCTTTATTAGAACACCGAACAGTGCTTTGGCTCACCGACGTAGTTAATTAAATCCATTCATCACTGCACAATGCATAAAGTGAAGACATTTATTTATTGCCTTTTACTGCATACTGAAGCCAACGAATCCATACGATTTAACCTCAAATGTTGTATAGTAAATTATATAAGAATTGCGACGAGGAATGTGCTGTTCTGAGCAAATTTACCACAAAATACAGAGAGAACATCTAAAGGATTATCACATATCTTCATCTAAAGGATTATCACATATCTTTCTGAGTTGTTTTGAAATTATTAAACGGAATTGCATTTAATGATTTCTGAGCAGAAATGTAGCTGTAGAAAAATTCTCTGATTTAGGTTCCATTCGAGAATAATCAGAAGAGTAAATTCCGTACCTTTTCAAGGTAGACAAGTGGAAACGTCTTTGCTTCTAAAATTCATTCCAGGACCAGATCTTGATGTGCTTGAGTTTTTTGTCTGGTATTAAATGTGTCAAGATGTGTCTATTCTGGGTAAAGATTTCTTGACAGATGTCACACTTAACTAGATGGTCTTGTCAGTATCGTATGATTAAGAAGTATTCTTGTATTTGATCCTTTGATTTCTTTACGCCAAAGATAATTGTTTGAGATGTATTTTAATGGCTAATTCTGGTGGTTTACTTCACAATATTTAATCTTTTTTTCAATAGGGGCCAACCTTCTCAGAATTAAATATGTATTTAAGACAATGTGCTAGTATTATATAAATAGTATTTTCAAATACTTTGGCCAATGAACATACAGAGCAGATCTTAAAATGTCAATTTCAAGTCAGGTCAATTTTATACAGAGCAAAACCAGAATATCAGCTAGTGTCTTTGAAAGGATCTGATTCCAAATCATCCAGTCAAATCATACTGGTCCATGCCCTCCTCTGTTATGTAATATTTATTTTTGGTTGGGGTCACAGACTACCATGTACTTCTGTGATTGACTCTTTAGCACTGAATACCACCTCCCATCTCTTACAGTGTATTCTGAAGACACAGAAATTAGTCATTAAACAATTGACTCATTCATAAAAAAAACTCCACTGCTCAAGTAAAATAGCGGACATCATTGTTGAAATGAAATGAATCTCATGCATACATACTGAATTAAACCAATAAATGGGGAATATTTAGTGTATTTTGAGTGCAGCTCTGTATTCTGTAATGATCTGAGAGGTTAACGAAGAGAATATTTGAATTTCGACACCCCCAACCCACTGAACCACGTATGACTACTGACGGTGATTTAGCCAGGATAATTCCTTCCATTGTCTTCATAGTTTTCTTTTTTTCATGTCACAACCCACCTGCAATACTCATGCTGTTTATATTTATACACATATTCTGTCTACATGCTTTTCCTATGTGACTCTGTGTAATTTTATCGAAATGTTCACCCACTGCTGGCATCGTGGAGGACATGTCTGTCTGATAAGGACATCTCAATGTCAAGTGCTCCTTATACTTTATAATTTAATATGAGGTGAAGGTGCAGCGCCATCTGCTGTGTATAAAATACAATGCGCCCATGGCAAACGATCTCAAACCGATTAGTTCACAGAAAAGCATATCAGAATGTTTTCAGTACAACCTATATATAATGGGTCCGTCTATAATGCAACAGTGATGCTGTATTATCTGATTAGCACGAACCCTTATTTACATCGACTTAGTTTAAATTTTAATACCCCAGTCTGTTGGATGTGGAGAGTAAAGACACTTCCTCAAATGGAATTTATGTGATAAAAGATTTATTCTGCAGAAGGATATGCAGAAAGGGAAAAGCTGAGCCTATGTAGCTGTATGAACATCAGGCTTCTGAAAAGGAGGTTATGCCGAGAGGAACAGCACAGTCACGTATGTGAGCCGCTATGGAAAGCAAAGAGGACGAGGCGAAAAACAGTCACCCCAGTTCTGAAGGTCACAACACAATGCTGAAGGTCACAAGAGCCAGATGCTGAGTGTCTGTCCATGGCTATTCAGCTTCTCCGAAATGTGGACCGGGCCAGACAGTCATGGATAAAATACAACCCCAGGTTCTTCAGTATCAAAGAATAAACAGGCAGAAAGTTGAATGAATCAGGTCTGATTCATGCTTATATAATTACTTCAAGGTCTTACACTGTTCAAGAGTATAACAGAAGCGTCCTTCTCAAAGTTAAATTATTTAGCTATTTCCATACAAAAGTAATGAAGAATAGTCAAAAAGAATAGCTGTACCTTTTAGCTATGACTATTTAATTATAGTAACAATGCCAAACATTCCCAAAAGCCCAGTGCCGAGTAGAGGACCTTTACAGAGGACTCAGCAGCGGTGAGCATGCGTGTTGCGTGCTGAGCTAATCGCTTTCACGCTGACCTCCCCTGTACTTAAGATGCACAGCAGACAGCATCATCTTCAACGCTGTGCCAGCTTAGCTTCCCTCTCTGCCGAGCACCGTTTGTGTCCGGCCCGTTCGCTTCTCCACAATGGAGCGTGCTTTACAGGGCACACACATACAAAAGCGCGCAGTTGAAATCCCGCCGGCCGCAGTCTGAATGCCCCGCTTCCGCATTAATTAAACGCTCGCCGCTGAAGGTGCCGGAGACACCGAGGTGAATCAGCGTGTCAGCCTGGAGCGGGGCGAGCAGGTCGCAGATTCTCCGAAGACCCCCAAACGGGCTCGGCCCGGAGCCTTCCTCTTAAATCCAGCCAGTGGGGAGGGATTTGTTAGACTCGAGCTGCACATGAGGGCTCAGCGCTTAGGCTAATCTGCCAGCGTGATAAAGCCCCGCATTCTCCAGGCAGGAAGGAGGAAATCTCTCGCTGTTTTTGGGCTTACATTGGCAGCGGGTGGAGTTTTGCTCATAAGAGGTCAGACTCTTAGGCAGAAGTTGGTGTCGTTCTTAACGACAGTTCTTAGGCAAATATCAAAGCTGAATAAATGGATCATCTTCTAAAACTAGTAAATCCCATCAGATTCTGCTAATCTAGAAGATGAAAATAACTATCATTATTAGAACTGGAAATTGTTGATATTTGTATTACCCATTCATCCATCTTGAGCTCAGAGCAGGGCATGTGCTTGATATCAGTTTATTACTACTATTCTTATTAAAAATGCAAACATGTATTGTGTGGGAGATTTATTGCATTTTGGCTGCATCTAGGTGAGAGCATGACTGATGGAAGCTGGATGAATCTCCCTCACGATCTAAAGTCAGACACCTTGAGCTCGGTGATGAAGAGAAATGGCCGTCATCATAGACTGGGCTTCAACCATGCCCTTCAGCCCCTTATCAAATATCCACATCTATCTCTTTACACATGCACATCCATAAATACATGGACACACAAAGAATAGACTTAAATAATTGTATTTGATATTGGAACTGTTAAGGGATTCAGCAGTCGTTTCCTCTTCTTTTTGTCTGGCCCAGGGAGAAGCCAGGAATGAGAAATCAGCCGCTGTCACATCTTGATGAAAGTGTGGAGGCATGTTACAGAGTGCCATGAAAAATTCATACTCTAGCAGGGCAGCTGTCTGAGGCGATTAGATTTCTATGTAAATCGTTACCACCCAGCAGGAAAATCACGCTGCTGTTGTTTTTTTTTTTTTAAACAGTGATGTGACCTGCTTGAGGGAATACCAAGGAGACACCATGACAGCAACACAACTGCATTATTAGTTACAATGCTCTCTATTCCTCCTCACTGTAGTTAAAGGGTTCTTCAAATTTGCCACCTTGCACTGCTTTGAGTTATGGCATTAGTATATCCTATCTTCAAGTTTGTGTGTGTGTGTGTGTGTGGGGGGGGGGGTATTTAAAGCAGCACAGGGCACAAGACTGGGGTTCATCCTCTTGGATGGAATGTCAGCCAAAGAAACATCAAGTTCTAAAAATTGCTCGTTTTTCATTTTGTTGATTCGATTGGTATTGAAAATTGCCTTTGGATTACTGCAGAGAGGGTTAGCTTAGCATTTGCATATCTTGCCCTTGTTTCCTAAAAGCGTGCAGCTCAGGAAGCTGGCATGCAGTTCAGAACTGGCCTCCCGTTCATCCCTCATCCCTTGCCTTCCTTGGGAGGGGCTTCATTCTCACCGTGATGCTGTACTGAATAGACGACAATCTAGCTGGATAGAAGGATGGCTGGCTCTGCCCTGTGGAAAATGACATCCGTCTTCATTATGAAGTCCACCCTCCATGAGATCTATGCCGACATATTCATTGGGTACCCCTTAAATTGACCTTTCCCGCCCATCATGGGAATAACACATTTTACCACCTGTCTGCTGTTTACAACAGGGTCTTAAATGATCAAGCTGGCTGTCGTTTTAAAAAATACTAAATGCTAAAAGTTCAAGCTCAAGGTTAATTAATGATTTTTTTTCTGCTATGCATAAATCAATCTCTAATCAATTTTCTTAGTATATGAAATTCTTTCAACAAATCCTATATTAACGCTATATTACATTAACCTTAGTGCTCCATTTCCTAATGGAAAGTTCACTCAAATTAACTATTTTCCATAGTAACCGTGTGGCGTTTTAACATCGTGGGGATTTTAAGAATACATTGCCAGTAGAGGGCAGTGTTTCACCACCCAGATGCCTGTCATCTAAGGAGAGGGAGGCTTACAATTTTTTTAAAGAAAATAAATAGAATGGAATAATCTTGCTAAATTAAAACTGCATATAATACAAGATGTGAATAATAATTTAAATGATCTCCTTTTCT